ATCGTGCTTTTTTCCATGTCAGTACATGAGATCAACCTTTTTCTGTGACACTGGTGTGTCCATGGATTCCACAGTATATTTAGCAGTGATTCCCCTTAAAAGGTTAATCCCAATTTTGTTTCAGATGATGCTGTAGTGGGCATTCTTTTTTTTTTTTTTTTTGTCTTTTTTGTGACCGGTAAGGGGATCGTAACCCTTGGCTTGGTGTCGCCCGCACCACGCTCAGCCAGTGAGCGCACCGGCCATCCCTATATAGGATTCGAGCCCGCTGCGCTCTCAAGCGCCGCACTCTCCCGAGTGCACCATGGGGCCGGCCCTGTAGTGGGCATTCTTATATAGACCTCTGCCTGTGCAGAGGGTGAGTGTGTGTGTGAGTGAGAAATTTAAACATTCCAGGTGTGGGATTTCTGGGTCATTGGGTATGGTCATAAGATTTTAAGTGCTACAAGGGTACTTCAAAAACTTCATGGAAAAATAAAATTGAAAGATGATATAGGGCTGGCCAGTTAGCTCACTTGGTTAGAGTGCAGCCTTATAACCCCAAGGTCATGGGTTTGGATCCCCATACTGGCCAGCCACCAAAAAAAAAAAAGGTATGAATATTCCCATGAACTTTTTGAAGTACCCTCATATTACTAAAGCTTCCAGAAAAGTAGTACAAACTTCCCCTTTTGTCGGCTCATGCAGTGCCTCTTCCTCAGATTCACAGACTACCGGGTTCCAGATTTAATGTGGAATAGAACCTGCGTTCACATCACTTGGCCATATGACTTTGAGTTATTTTAACCTTAAAGATAGTAATACATTCCAGACCAGGTGATTGAGGATTAGGTGATACCAGGGAAAGCATTGAACAAGGTTACATGCTTAACCTGCAGCTACAAGGTAGCATCATTGAAGCTTTCTACCTGGAGCGATTGATACAAAGTCTTCTGAGCTGAAACAAAAGCTTAGCCCTGCTTTGTCCTTTCCAGTGTCATTGCTTCGTTTTCACACATTAGCAAGGAGGTTTATCTTTAAAGATGGAGGGACTTTGTGGAGATGGCCTCCTCACCACCACTTCTGCCTCCTCCCTCACTTTGGGGGCAGAACACACCCCCTAGCATTCCTTCAGAAACTGTCATGTGTTTATGAATCCCCTGGGGGTCTTGTTAAAATGCAGCTCTGATTCGATCTGAGGTGGGGCTGAGATACTGCATTTCTAACAGGTTCCCAGAGGATGCTCAGTGCATCTGGCCCATGGCCTGCACTTTGAGAAGCAACATCCTGGAGCAGTGGGCCCAGCCTCAGCAGAACATTAGAACCACCTAGGGAACTGTTAAAACTACTGATGCTCTGGTGTTGCCAGAGAACATTAACCTAAGTCCATCAAACCAGTAACAGTTGTTAAAGCATTTACATTTGTTGTTTGTGCTGTAAAACACAAACCCAAATTGTGTGATTCACCATGTCAGTTGGAGGAGTTTCAGTTTTAAGAAGTATAATTTTTGCAGACATTTAAAATTTGCTGGCTTGGGAGGTGCTGAATACAAATATTCTAGAATAAGTTCATCACATACCTCTAATGAGAGTTAACCCTGCTTTGCAAAGCACTTAACATATATATCTCAGCTAATGCTTATACCAACCACCACTTAAGAGATGTGTCCCTGTCTCACAGAAGAAGGAAATTAAGCTTCCTGTCTCCTTTACATGCTTGCTGCCTTCTAGGCCCTCATCATTTCTCCTTGCTTGGACCTAACCCATTTAAGTCTCTAGGTTCCTTTTGCTGGATATACTCCATCCTGTTCCCGGAATAGCCCTCTGGAAACACAGTTTGGTATGTTCACCTCGCAAACCTGTGCTGGTACTCTGTTGTCTCCAGGATAGAGTCCAGACTCTGTGGGGGGCCCTAGGACACCCTTCTCAACCCCACTAAATGACTGGAATTCTCCAAGCCTGACCTGGATCTTCATGCTGCTGTGTTTGTACTGCTGGTCCCTCACCTGGGAGCACCCCCCTGTCCTTTTGAAGTCTCATTCACCTTTCGTTCTGGCTGTCTGTTGCTGTGTAACAAACTACTGGTCATGGTTTTGTGGGTACCTCTGAGGGACATGTGTACACACGGATTCCACAGGTGTTTAAAAATGCTCCAAATGCCACCTGAATAGATGAAGATGTTCTGGGAAACCACACCAAACAACCAGCCCCTTGAAGGAACACAGGGAGAATGTGGCATTGTGAAGTGATGAAGGGAGGGATTTGGGTTTGTTTGGATGGAGTGTGCATGAATTGGGAGCAGGGAGGGAGGTGTCCCTTCCCTCCCACTCACCTCCAGTGGATCACCCAGTGGGCATGACTGGGGTGCCCGTCAAAGAGGTCTGCTCCTTTTGAGGGCAGGGAAGGGCAGAGCAAACAGTGTGGCCTTATGCTGTCCACTTGTGTGATCGTCAGTGTCCTCTTACCTGCCTCTTGTAACATCCCTTCTCCCTGGCTCCCGCCCTCCTCAGGTATAGTTCCTTCAAGCCTCCAGGATGGCAATCCAATTCCGCTCATTCTTCCCTTTGGCGCTGCCTGGAGTGCTGGTGCTCCTCGGCTGGTGGTGGTTTTTCTCTCGTAAGAAAGAGCCTGTCAGCAGCCATGACAAGCAGGTGGAGGCTGATGCTGTGGAGCTGAGGGCCGACCCTGCCAGTGAGAAACCACTCCCCATGGAAGATGCCAGTCCCAGCATAGTGTCCACGCCCCCCAGTGTCACACAGCTGCCAGAAAAGGAACTGTCCACTGCGAGCAAGCCTTCTGCCCAGCCCCCTGCCTTGCCGAGGACACACCCCGCCCATCGCAGATCAGAGTCCTCGGGTAACCTTCCAAACACTACAGATACAAGACCTCTACCAGGAATGCCCAAAGATGATAGCACAAAGCTGGAGCTAGCCCTGATGGGTGATGAAGCCAAATCTATTTCTCTACAGGGCCCTGTTCCATCTCCCAAGGGTGTGTTGTTCCCCCACGAAGCAGTGGAGGCATGTAAGCGAGAGTCCATGTTCAGCAGGACACCAGGGAGCGGCCGAACAGGCCAGTCTGCGTCCCCTGCAGAGAAGCACAGTCCTGGGGAGAAGGCAAGAGAGACAGATGGGGCCGAAGGGACTGGCGACGCTGTGTTGGGGGAAAACGTGCTCGAAGAAGGTCGGCTGTCCCAGGAGCATGTCTCGGTGTTGGAGAGCAGCAAGGCCCCCAGCCTGGCGCCCTTGGGAGGAGGGGGAGAGGATGGGGAGAGTAGCCCGGCCCAGGTAGCTGGGCCCACGCAGAAGGAAGAGTACATAGCAGGCAAGTTGCTAAGCAGCTTCATCGAGTCGGCTCATACACAAGTGGCTAAGGGTGACGAGACACTGGCGCCCCAGGTCACAGATGGCAAAGCCTGGGACAGATATCCCTCAGGGGAGCTGGGCAAAGAGGAGACCTTGGATAGAAATGAGAAGATTGAGCAAGCTGCCTTCCAGATAATCTCCCAAGTGATCTTGGAAGCAACCGAAGAGGTGCTGGCCACTATGGTGGGCAAGATTTCAGGTCCAATGTATCAGGCCTCGGCTGGTCAGCTGCAAGGTCAGAAGGAGGAGAGCTGTGTCCCGGTCAGCCAGAAAACTGTCCTGGGGCCAGATGCCATGGAGCCTGCTCCAGCCAAGGTAGAGGCAGCTGCCAGCCCGATAGACACTGCCCTGTCCTCGCCAAGCCTGCCAGCAGAGGACCTGCCACCAAAGACCTATGTGAGCTGCCTGAACAGCCCTCTGTCCAGCCCCACCAAGGACAGCAAACCAAAGAACTCCGCACACCATATCTCCCTGGCCTCCTGCCCACCACCACCCGCCACCCTCGGAGAGTCGCTGGATGAGGCAAGCATCCTGGGAGAAGATGCCACCTGTGTCACCTGCATGTCAGACAACAGCCAAGGTGTCTCTTCAGTGGCTTCCTTGGGACAGTGCTCAGATTCCCTCAGCACTTCAGGGATTGAAGACTCTTGCACAGAGACCAGCTCAAGCCCCAGGGACAAGGCCATCACCCCACCACTGCCAGAAAGTACTGTGCCCTTCAGCAATGGGGTGCTGAAGGGGGAGTTGTCAGATTTGGGGGCTGAGGATGGATGGACCATGGATGCAGAAGCAGATCATTCGGGAGGTAGGAGGGTCTTGGGTATTCCCTTAAAGGAACAGGGGGGAGTCTCCCTTTATTAGGGAAAGGCTACTGGTCACCTCTCCTGCTGCTACTTCTGCAGCAAAGGAATGGTGCTCTTCAGCTTTGCAGAGAGCCGAGCACAGTGTAGAGCTAGTGGGTAGCTGAGAAGTTAGGTTTCCCCAAAACCCCAAGGCCATGTGAGCTGTGACTTGGCTCCTCCCTTTATTAGGGAAAGGCTACTGGTCACCTCTCCTGCTGCTACTTCTGCAGCAAAGGAATGGTGCTCTTCAGCTTTGCCGAGAGCCGAGCACAGTGTAGAGCTGGTGGGTAGCTGAGAAGTTAGGTTTCCCCAAAACCCCAAGGCCATGTGAGCTGTGACTTGGCTTGTCATCCAGTGACCGTCCCCAGACCTGGAGAAGGAGCCGGCTCAAAGTTGGGGTCACTGATGAACCTCGGTGCCTCTTTTTTTAAACACTAACCTCATAATGGTTTTGTTTTTTAAATGGAGAGGACTCCTTAGCTTTAGTTCCCTCGAGTGCCAAGTATGGGTGTGAGTTTTCCTAATGGTTTATTTCCTTTTAATCATGTGCTTGTTCCCATGTCTTCACCTGCTTTCCTTCTCCAGAAGCTCTTACAGGGTAAGTGCCCAAAGAATGGCCACAGCTTTGAGTACTTGTGGGGGCTCGAGCTTTCCTGAGTTGTCGCTGTCTCCTGTCCCTTCGCAGAGAGCCTCAGCCATTCTCTTTCTGTGCAGCTGCAGTTCCACCCCCGGGAAAGAGGGGCACTTTGGTAATGAAGTGTCCACTGGGTTTTTCGAGTGCTGACCCCAGCGTAGACAGTTCAGACCACTAACTTACAGGTCAGCAGCTCCTGACCCTGCTTTTGCGGCTCCCCCGGGGTATTTTCACATATCTCATGGAGAGATGCCACAAATTCCCCCAGTGCCTCTCTGACTTGGCCTGTCCTGGAGCTGCTCCCTGTCATTTCCATCTCTGGGAAGGTTGGGCATCTTTCTGGGGAATTTGTCTGCTTTCAGCTGCATCTGGTGTGTACCCCACACTATATTTTGTCACCTTCAAGATGCTGTTGATGAAGACGCTGAGGATTGATGTACTTTTAAAAGAAAAAAATACTGTTGATCATGTTATAGGAGGCCAATTACTGTAAGATGCATCCCAATGTCAGGGGTGTTGAAATGTTTAAAAAAAAATCCCAAATTGATCTTAAAATGGGTGAAATGTTTTTAAAGAATAAAGGTGTTTCCCTTTGCCCACTGCCCCTCAGCTTAATTAACCAGCCCCTTCAGCCTTGTCATGCCAGCTCTAGATGGATGTGTTGAGGGCTTCTGAGTTTAGGCTTCTCGGAAGAGAAGGCTGTAATTGAGCCAGGTGTAGGCATGGCAGGGGGAAGCCTGGTCATAACATCTGTTGAGCACCCAGTGGGTGCCAAGCACCAGGCTATGCCCCACGTGCCCTCTCCCATCAGCGCTGCTTTGCATGTGGGGAAGCTGAAGCTGAGAGGGGTCCAGAGACCCCCGGCTGGGAGAGCTGGAATCTGATCTGTGAATGTAGCCTGGAGTCCTAGTGTGGTTCTAGGGGAGCAAGTATTGGCTGGTCCTGTTCTCTCGGACAGAGGCGGGAGCTGTATCTGAGTGGAGCCGCCTCCTACCCCTCATCAACCTGGTCTGCTTCTGGAAGGCCAGCCAAGTAGCCTCCTCTCGAAGGGGTGCTTTCTGCATGTGAAGCTTATTCTGAACCCCTGGTGTTGAGGAAGGGGATCACTTTGAAGGTGACTCTTTCTTAGCTGGGAGCAGAATCTCTTTAAGCCTTAGTCCTCCACATCCAGGCAGTGCACAGATTGCTTGGCAAAGGTTTATGCCCAGGGCTTGGAGAAACCATGTGGAAAATAACCTGATTAGTAGACTCTCAGGAGTGATCCATTTCTGGTGATTGAGTCGTCCATATTTAGGCCTGAGCCACTGCTCTTGAGCTGGTCCGGACTCCTCTTTTTCTGGGATGGCCCTTTTGGTGCGCTCTTGAGCAAGAGGAACAGCCTGAGTCAGTTTCAGAGTCCTGCTTCCCACTCTGACCTGGGGAATGAGCCTTAGCTCAGTCTTGACTAGAGGGTATTTGAGCCCAGAAGAGTGTTCAGAGTTGCATAAGTTCAGCCTCAGCAGAGGGGAAGGAGTCCCTCCTTCTGTATCCACATCTGGCAGAGATAGAGCAGGACCCTGATCAAGGATAAGAACACGGCCCTCAGGCTAGTGAGGACTATGTCTAGCCCAGCTTGGCTGAAGGCCACCACCTGTGAGCTGAGGCCTGGGGCCTTGGGACTGCAGACCCTTTGCCTGAGGGGCTGGGATAGTTGGAAGGGTGTCAAGACAGGTGTGAATAGTCTGTCCAGCTCCTGGGGTCTGTGCTGCTGTCCCTTCCCCCACCCTGTGGCCTCTCCTTCCCTGGGCATGGAGTCTGCTTCTTCCCAGTTCACCACTTGTGTCTGTACCAGCAGCTGTGGCTGGGTGCAGCTGCCAGTTAAGCAAGCGGGGCTATAAGTGACAGGCTAAAATTAAGTGTATCGGCACCCCCAGCCCTCCTCTCATTGGGGTTGTTCTGAGTTGTCCTTGTAGACTGTGAGTTGACAGTCACCTGCCAGGCCTGAGGAGGGGGTGTGGGGTGGGAAAGTAAGTTTGGGAATGTGAGTTTGGGAAGTTCCGCGTTGTTGGCTGCTCTGAGCCAGGGTCTGTGAGTGTGCGCGCGCGCGTGCTGCTGCCTCCCCTGCAGGTTCCGATGGGAACAGCATGGATTCAGTGGATAGCTGTTGTGGCCTCAGGAAGAGTGACGGTTTCCAAAATGCCCAGGCGGGCTCCAACCCTAAGAAGGTCGACCTCATCATCTGGGAAATTGAGGTGCCAAAGGTAAGGGCAGCAGCATCCCCGCAGGCTGAGTTCCCTTGGGCCTGGGGCCATCAGACTTAGAGGGAGGGGGTAGGGGGAGGGTCAGGAAACCAGAAAGTGCCCGAGTGAGCCAAAGGCTGAGGGAAAGGGAACACCACACTTTGCCAAGGTTCAGAGAGCTTCCCGCAAAATGGAATTCCTCCAGCTGCCTTCAGGAGCATTTTAATCTTGTACACAAACTCCCAGGCCGGCTTATCTCCCCTGGGGCTCTTCTTGTGTGCACTGGGGCTCGCATCTGTTGGAAATGCTAGCAAAAAAAGCAGATTGAGGACATGAGGCAGCCAGAACCCCCTCACTCTGCTCCACTTAAGCTCTGCAACGTAAAGTGTATTTTATAGTTGAACAAAGCAGAAATCCATATTTTAGAGAACTTGAAATACAGAAATGTACGAAGAAAATAAAACTCAGCTCTAATCCTACCCCTGAGTGTGACTATGAAGACTTTTATTTCCTTCTTGTCCTGCACCCTGTGGTTTTTAAACAAAACTGAGATTATGTTGCTTTAATTAATACTTTTGAATATTTAACAACTTAATTTTCCTGTTATGTTTTGAAAATGTAATTTTAACTGCATTATTCATTGTGTGAGTGTCAGTTTCCTTCGCCGGTCTCCAGTTCCAGCATGCTGCAGTGGTTTCTAGCTTTTGCAGTTCTAACTTACAACTTATTAGCTTGGTCTTTATGTTTGTCTCTGGGGCTGAGAGATAGTTGGCAGACTGCATTCCCCCAGGGCCTTGGGCCCATGCTGAGGTAGAGACTTGGTTCTGTGTGAACTCGGGGTCAGGACAGTTGTTTTGACCCCAGGTTGCTGGCTCCCTTGGTGGCTTCCTCCCCAAGTGACCCTGTTGGCAGTTGTGTCCTCTTTTCCTTCAGTGGTTACAAAGGGCACAACGAGGCTAGCTCTGGATGAGGAGGGACTGTTTCCCTAGTAGCTCTACTGAGGCGGGGCATTTGGGATTGTTTCGGAGCTTGTCTTACATCGTGGCTAAGTTTGGCTGCTTTGGTCTACCTTGAACTCTGGCTCACTGGGAACTGCTGCATTCCCCCAGGGCCTTGGGCCCATGCTGAGGTAGAGACTTGGTTCTGTGTGAACTCGGGGTCAGGACAGTTTTTTTGACCCCAGGTTGCTGGCTCCCTTGGTGGCTTCCTCCCCAGGTGACCCTGTTGGCAGTTGTGTCCTCTTTTCCTTCAGTGGTTACAAAGGGCACAACGAGGCTAGCTCTAGATGAGGAGGGACTGTTTCCCTAGTAGCTCTACTGAGGCGGGGCATTTGGGATTGTTTCGGAGCTTGTCTTACATCATGGCTAAGTTTGGCTGCTTTGGTCTACCTTGAACTCTGGCTCACTGGGAACTGCTGCATTCCTCGTGCTCTGGAGGCCCCAGCCTGCTGTCACTGGGCAGCAGGAGCCCACGGGTTCTTAGGCCTTCCTGTTCAAGTCCAGCCCCTTTATCTTTAGATCTGAATAGACTTGAAGGAGAGGGGTCCAGGGAATCAAAGTTGACCCTTACGCTGGTGAACTGTTTCATAGTGTGGGTTTTGGAGGAGAAGATGCTGCCTTTGTAGCCTTCTGGGTCTGGGCCATGCTGTCTGGCATGAAATGGGAACTGCTGGGTCCTGAAGCCAGACTCCCTCATTCAACTGCTTAGCAGCTGTGTGACCTTGGGTGAGTTCCTTAGCCTCTCTGGGCTTGTGTCCTCATCTGTAAACTGGTGATAGTTATCTGTTTCACAGGTACCATGAGTAAGTGTAAGTGCTTAGATTAGTCCTGGCAAATAAATGCTGACATGTTAACAGTTGATACATGTGAGCTGGACCTTACATAAAACAAAAGTAGGTCTTTGGGAGTGTAGGTAATTGGTTTCCTGTTAACCTTCTCATCTCTTGCTCTCTCTGGAAGCACTTGGTCGGTCGGCTGATTGGCAAGCAGGGGCGGTATGTGAGTTTTCTGAAGCAAACATCTGGTGCCAAGATCTACATCTCCACCCTGCCTTACACCCAGAACGTCCAGATCTGCCACATAGAAGGTCAGTGGCAGCTGCTGCCCTAGGGTTAATTTTCTTAGGTATATAAGAAATATAAGTAAGTTGAAGTGTTTGCGTCCCAATTGCTATCCTTTTGGAATCTAAGTCTCTGAATGGAAGATGCTGTTCTCATCCCAGGGGAAGGGAGCACTCCGTGTCTTCCTTCAGCATTTTTCCCCAGCTCAGGCACTTGAAGGAGACTCAGGTGCCTCCCCATGAGATCTCTGGCCGGGAGCGGCATGGGCAGGGTCTGGGGTCCTGGGTTCATAGTGCCCTGTGTCGGACTCCTCTCTGGTTGGTGAGAGCTGGGCCTTTCCCATCTGCCAGCTTCCTGTTGTGTTCAGAGCATGGATCACAGTGGCAGAGGTATCATTTGAGAGGTGAATGGGGCTAGATGCCACTCTTCCTAAAGCAAAGCTTAGCATTTTGGCACCTTAAAGATGCACTTGCACTCTGGGGAAAGTCCCGTAGAGCAGGGTTTATGGGCGAGTTTGTTTTTGCTGTGACTTTCCTCGTACGCACAGTGATTGTGTGTCCTGCCCCACCCCCATTTAGGCTCTCAGCATCATGTAGACAAAGCACTGAACTTGATTGGGAAGAAGTTTAAGGAACTGAACCTCACCAATATCTATGCTCCCCCGTTGCCTTCGCTGGCGCTGCCTTCTCTACCAATGACATCCTGGGTGAGTATGCTCCCAGTGATCAGGACTTCTCGCGCCCCCACCCCCCAGCCCACCCTAAACAAGCGACTCCCCAGACTGTGGGCTAAGAAGGGCCGAGAGCACATTCGTGCCTGTGCCCTCTCACCTCTGGCCTCCACTGGTCAGTTCTGCTACTTGCCTGTGTTCTCTGGGGACAAGGGGTGGGGTGAAGTGCTGAAAAGAAGCCAGAGGCCCCCCGGTCCCCATGTGGGAGAACTACTCTCCCCGGGCTCTGTACCTTTTGTGTTCTATAGGCATTTGCCTAGAGCGGGTTATAGTTCAGCCAGGAGACTGGGTGTGTCCAGATGGTGTGGGGCTCCTTAAAGCTGGTGCTGTGTCCAGGGTCACTGCTCAACACTGAGGCCTGGGTGGGACCCACCATCGTGAGTTTGGACGGGGCTTGTGATAGGTCACTCTGTTCCTTTTTCCTAGTGCGCCAGGCCTAGTAGTGGCCCTGTTGAAGGATCTCCTTCCCTTTCCCTCTCGCCAGGAGGTGCCTAGATTAGAAAGAAGAACGAATGCTCCCCATCAGACCCAGGAAGCCCAGTGGCTCTTTGGAGGTGGCCCCAGGAGTTTGGCAGGAGGAGAAGCTGGCATTTCAAGGGCCCCTGTGTGCTGGTGGCTGCAGGGTCTCTTGGGGCCTGTCACTCATGTCCTGCAGCATGTCTCTGGCCCTGGTCAGGCCTTATCTCTCTGGGAGGAGAATTGCAGTTTTGTGGGCCAAAGACTTTCTGCATTTCATACAGATGGGCTGAATGTACTGTGAGAAAATTGCTGCCCTTGCCCTGGATTTTTTTTTGGGGGGGGGACAGTGGGGAGGTAGGCACTTCAGTTCTGTATCTTCCCCCTGTCGAAGACCCTTGTACTGTGGGAAAAGGATGGGATGTTTCTTTCCTTTCCTGTGGATATCTGGGAGTAGGCTGAACCCCACTTTACAGAATTTTTTCCCAGGAGGCTTGACCCTAGACCCACTCTCTTGTCAGATAATTGAGTGGTGTGTATGGATGATTTCCTTCCCTTGTACTCTTGTACTCTGTTTGGCTCCGTGGGACTGGAGAGGGGGTCTCAGATGCCTCTGGACTAGCAGTCCTGGGGGTGGGGGGACGTGGAGGCCGGGACTCTAAGCCAGAAGCTCGTCCCCTGTGACCACCTGCGTAGAAGGTAGTATAGACGCCCTGCTGTGTCCACAGCCCTGATGTTGCCTGTAACTTGGCATTGGGAAAACCAGTGTCTAAGGACAAGTCTTTAGAGACCATTATAGCCTCTTCTAGGGCCTTTAACATAGGGTTTGGCCAATGAGCAAACCTACATGTCAAATCCCAAAGTGGAAACGAGTTGGGGGATATCTGGGACATGTGGAGAAGAGCAGGACTTAGGGGATGGAAGGGAAGGAGGAAGAGGAGCAAATAGGACACAGATTCCTGTGGACCTTGACGGTGGGCCTTACTTGAGGCCAGTGCTAGCTGTTAGGAAGGGAGAGTAGACGCTGTCAAACCGTGAGCTCCAGGGGCCACTGCAAGTCCAGAGGAGCTGGCTGAGGGCCCTAGGGCCTGCCTCCTCTTATTCTTGGGTGCCTCATTCGTGTGTTTGCCCTCCCAGGTCTTATAGACTCATCAAGAGAGGTGGGAGGGAGGGAGGCTTTGGCAGATGGACCCTGCACAGGCCCAGCTCTATATCCACAGTTGGCTCTTGGGTGCCCATTATCTTCTGGGAGCCTTCCTGCCTGGCCCGGGGGCAAGGCTGCCCCTAAAGGCTGTTCATGGTATTGCAGGACAATGGCCACAGTGGTGTGGAACACATTGCATGGTTAAAGTAGTTCTTGAACCTCTGCTCTCTGCGTGTCATGTTGTTTGGTGTTGCTATGCCCTTTTCATGGGCCTTGGGGCTCATTCCACACACACGAAGGATCGTGCAGTGCCCACTGCCCCTTCCCCCTATAGCTCATGCTGCCCGATGGCATCACTGTGGAGGTCATCGTGGTCAACCAGGTCAACGCCGGGCACCTGTTTGTGCAGCAGCACACGCACCCTACCTTCCATGCGCTGCGCAGCCTGGACCAGCAGATGTATCTCTGCTACTCTCAACCTGGAATCCCCACCTTGCCCACCCCGGTGGAAAGTAAGTGCTGCCCTAGGGGGTGAGAGGGGGAGCCTGGGCTTCTGGCCAGGCCAGCTGGAGAAGCCCTCAGTCTTGACCAGGAGGAGAGTGTTCTGGGGTCCTTGATGGGAACAGCATCCCTGAGTTCTTGCTATTGTCATAGAGTCACAATGGGCTGAGTTTCCTGGCCAGTCAAAGCTGATGTTTTCATTGGCTGATGAAGTGATGGGATTGGAGTGGATTTTTGACACAGGGATTCAGATCCCAGCTCTGCCACATATTATCTGTTAAGTGGGGTGATACGCACTTGTTCTGGGAATTAGGGTTGGATACTGTATGTGTTGCACATAAAGCACTTGGTGATGCATATGCTGGTTACCTCAAAAGATCCCTGAGCCCAGCAACCCTGTGCAGTGGGTTAGGTCATCTCCGTTTGACAGATGAGAAAACTGAGCCTGTGAAATCAAGTGACTTGCCCAAGTGGCATCTGAGCGGACTCTTGAGCCCGTTCTTTGTCACTATTGCCTTTGTTGTACTTACCTTTGGGGATCAAATGTCAGAACATCTCTCCATCCATCCCCATCAGGGACTCCTAACCTAGGCCCCCCGGTGGGCTTCAAGGCATCAGAAAAAGCCTTTGAACTTATCTGTAGTGTTTTGTGTGGTCTTATCTTTTGGAGGAATAAGGATTTTGTTTTTGTCAGATTCTTTAAAGTTGCCTCAATCCAATAGTAAAGACTGAATGAGTCCAAGAGGTGACTGCACCTGGGCCTCTCTAAGGGTCAGGACCCCAGTGTGTCAACCCTGTGTCACAGGTTTTCATCCCAGCTGGCTTGCGGCAGCTGCTGGGGTGCTGCTGGCAAACCTTACCCCCTAGTTTCATCTGCTCTGCTGCCCCAGGGGTGGGAGATTGGTAACCCCTTGGAGCACGGCCTTGTTGGGTGCCCAGGCACTGTCACACCTTCCTGAGGCAGAGGCTAGAAGTGGTGGAGCTTAGGCCTAGGTCCCCTTTTGGCTAAGTCTTTGATCTGATTGTGAGCTAGAGCAGACCCTAGATACCAGGCCACTGAGATCTGCTGACTTTGGAGGTTCTTGATTTTTTGCAGGTGCTTTCCCTCAAGAATGTAAGGCAGTCCCTGGCTCCATTCCCTGAGTGTTGTATTTTGTTTGGTTTATTCCAGTTAATCTGTGTCCATCTCAGGCCTCAGTAAGTTTCATAGTAATGGATCTATATCAATTGCTTTTTGGTCTAGATAGCTTGGGGACAGCACACATACTAGGCTTAATTTCTCATGTCTGTGTTCTTCCCTTGGCTAGTCTTGGGCTCTGGGAGGCTCTGCTGGGGACTCGTTGCTGTTCCTGTCCCCTGTGCCACAGAGGCACAGGCCTCTGAGAAGTCATGTGGGGAGGTGGGTAGCAGTGTCCAGGGTGGCCTTTGGTGCCCTGCCCTGGGCCAGGCGTGTCCACACACTCCTTCCTGTCCTGCAGTAACAGTCATCTGCGCTGCCCCCGGGGTGGATGGGGCCTGGTGGCGAGCCCAAGTGGTTGCCTCCTACGAGGAGACCAACGAAGTTGAGATTCGCTATGTGGACTACGGTGGATATAAGAGGGTGAAGGTAGACATGCTCCGGCAAATCAGGTGAGTGGAGGCTCCTCAGCCAGGCACATGCCCTAATTGTTATGGGATGTGTGGTCTCTGCACAGCTGGCTCAATTCTGCTGAGCCTGGGGTGTGGATAAAATTCTTCCCTCCAGTGGCCTCCTGTGTTTAGCAGAGTCTGATATAAACAGACTCAATTACTTGCCAAACTGAGCTAGAGGCCTGTCTTAGGGAAGAATTCCCACCACGTATCATACCTCAAAAGCGAAGTGGGTAGGGCTGGCCAGTTTCTCAGTTGGTTAGAGCACAGTGCTGTTAACAGCAAAGTCCATGGTTCGATCCTTGTACTGGCCAGCTTCCCCCACCCCCCAAAAAAGAAAAAGAAACAAGTAAAGCGGGCTTCTTGGGAATTTGACACAGGCAGTCCGTCTGAGGTCAGGCTTGTGGCAGGGCTGGCTGCCTGTATTCAGGTGTGCTGTGAGCCTTGGCCTGCTGCCACCTCACATGTGTCCTCACTTCGGTGGAGTTACTATGCTAAGCAAAAGGTAAATATCAGCTTGGAGTGGGGTCAGGCTTCAATCCTTTGTTCCTTTCTTGACTTTCCAGGTCTGACTTCGTGACCTTGCCATTCCAGGGAGCAGAAGTGCTTCTGGACAGCGTGATGCCCCTGTCAGGTAACAGGCGGGGCCTGGGGGGTGGGCAGTTGTTGAGAGTAGGTCTTCCTCTCTTAGAGCACCGGTTCTCACCTGGAGAGCTTATGCAAACATGGGTTGCTGCCCCTGTCAGAGTTTCTGATTAACTAGGTCTGGCCTGAGACCGGAGGGCTTGCATTCTAACAAGCTACCAGGTGGTGCTGACACTGTACATCCCTGGGCCATCCTTTGAAGTCCTCTGCTCTAGGCTTTGCCTAGACCTTCAGCATTGAGAGTCTGCCAAGAAAGGAACCTTCCAGAACACAGTTTGGACCCAGAGTCTTAGCCCTGTGGTTGAAGGTGGGCACTGAGGCCAGTGGCATTGCTCAGCCGGGTCACAGCTCCTTGGGCACTGTGGGGACTGTGCTAATGCTCCCCCTGTCTAGTGTCTTAGACTGTGAAAGCATAGCTAGAGAGAAGAGGCCTGGCAGTGCGGTCTTGCAAATTACTTAGCCTTGATTTTCTCCTCTGGAAAATGGGGATGGTACCTAATTTCAGGGTGGCTGTGAGAAGTACATAAACTCAGGAACTGATGTGTAGAAGGTGGTCAAATAGCAGCTGTTTATGGCTAGGAATTTTATATTCGTAGGTAAGAGTCTGTTCTGTCCATCCCCTTCCCTCCGCAGGTTTGCCCCTTCTGATCTTGTTCTTGCTTGTCTACAGCGATTATATGCATTAGAAATGCTACATTGGAGCTAGAGTCATGTTGGGTAGAACACTGGGCTGAGGTCTTCATTCTCTTTTCCGTTATTGCTCTTGCCCAATCTTCCTCTCCATTTCTGTCCATCTCGACAGTCTCTTCCAGGCCCAGCTGAAACGCTCCCTCCTAATAAGGCTTGCCCAGACCCCCTTTGTAAGCAGCTGCATCTCCCATCCTCCCACCTCTTGCCTTGGGTGTGTTCTGCATAACTTTTATAACCCAGCAAAGCAGGGTGTGGCCTCAGTGCCTGCCTGCCTGCTATAGAGTGGCTACCCACATTGGGCTGTGCCACCGGCTGCCTGGATCTGGACTCCACCTGGGCTGCTCTGGGCACCGGCTGACCTTTGGCAATCAGCCTTTCCCTCATCCTCTCCTGTAAATGGGGATGACCCTTGTCTTCCCCAGGGTGTTACTGGTTTGGTGGAAGAATACATACACTGGGCTCAGCACAGTCGGCACCCAGATAGGTGGTGGTGCTGTTTCCATTTAGGCAGTTTCCGTCCCTTGGCCTCTGTCCTCAGTGGGTAACGTGCAGCAAGGCCCTGATTTGGTGCACTTAGAATCGCGTGGGCGTCCCTCCCAAAGGCAGCTCTCAAGTTCTGTGCAGCCTCTGAAGCATTCTACATGGGATCCCTCTGAAAGTTGCCTAAGTGACAAGGTACCTCCTTGTCTCTGAGTGTAAATGCGGCTTTTCTTTATCCCCCTAAAGATGACGAGCACTTCTCACCTGAGGCGGATGCAGCGATGCGCGAGATGACGGGGAACACAGCACTGCTTGCTCAGGTGCGTGGTGGCGGCGGGGCAGGCTGGCCGGCGTCCGTCTGAGGAGCCTCCTCCTGGCGTAATTAGTGTCTGGGCTTCTTGGGAACTGACCTTTATGTCCCTCCTTCCTGTGGCTCAGGCCCTGGGTTGGGCAAAGCACGGTGTTTAAGAAGAGTTGCATGGAGTAGCTTTAAAATGTGCTTTTCTCATTCTTCAGGGGCAAAGCACGGTGTTTAAGAAGAGTTGCATGGAGTAGCTTTAAAATGTGCTTTTCTCATTCTTCAGGTGACAAGTTACAGTCCAGCTGGCCTTCCTCTGATTCAGCTGTGGAGTGTGGTTGGAGATGAAGTAAGGCCCGCCCTTCTTTGCTTTCTAAGTTGCCGGCCAGCAGGAATGAGTTGATTTGGAGCTGGTTCTGGCACTGTTTCCTCTCGAACTAATCAGAGCTAATAGACCAGTGCCTCACAGGGGACAGGTTGGGTACCACAATTGAGGGTATGGTGATGCTAGTGTCATCTAGTGGGTAGAGGCCAGGGATGCCCAGGACAGCCCCCACAACAAAGAATTATCTCCCAAAATATCAGTAGTGCCAAGGTGGAGAAACCCTGCCCTAGACCTGCTAGGACCTTCTGTCCATTGGGTTTTCCCATCTTCCATCTTATGGTATTAAAGCTTAGATCTCTTCATTCTATTAAAAAGCCTATCCTCATGCCAAAGTGGCCAACAGAACATTTAAGTAAATGCCCCTGTTGGCCAAAAAGTGGGTCATCCTCCTCTCACCCCATTATTCTTGTACACCTGCTGCCAGTACTGGGGACCTGGGACCTGGGAAGGGGAACCCATGGTGGCTAGAGAGGTGGCCAAGGTGCCATGGGCAGAGCTCTCAAGGGAACTTTTCCTTCTAGGTGGTGTTGATAAACCGGTCACTGGTGGAGCGAGGCCTCGCTCAGTGGGTGGACAGCTACTACGCAAGCCTTTGACCCCGGCCCCCACCGCCACTTCTTGAGTCTTTTTTGCACTGTTGAAATTGGGCTTGGCACTCAAGGCAAAGATATAACATCAGAACCACAAACGGTGTCCTCTCCAGAAAGTCCTTTTTTCCCCCATTCTCTAGTCCTATTGAGAAGATGATTTGTTTCAGAAAAAAGTATGGAGTTGTGGGTTCTTGTCAAAGCCATAGCATGGTGTTTAACAAGCCAGCGAGCATAACCTGGTCACAAGCTGTTTAAAAAAAAAAATTGAAAAACACTCTCAACCAGGGTGTCCTACTCCCTCTCTGTTCCATTCTCTGTTTCTTCCTTCCCATCTCCTCCTCCACCAAAAACCAAACTGTAGCAGAGACAGGCCAAGGGAAGTGTGTTGCTTGCTTGAGAGGGTTCTTTTACTTCCACGTCTTTCTTTAGGGAGCAAGACACGAACCAGTTGGTATCAGTTACCTGTACAGCTTACATACATGAACTGGGGACATTTAACCGGTTTTTATAAACTTCATCTAGGTCTCTAGGAACACAGACTTTTTTTTAATACAGATGTAAATATGAAGTGATTGTCACGCCTCTGGCTTTGGTCAGTGGGAAGGGAAATGTCACCCTGCCAAGCCTGGTTGTAATTTGTGACCATTTTCTATTTGTGCAAACTTTGTAAATACATGTTTAAAAAATGTAATATTTTGTACAAGATACACTGGAGAACAAAGGGAACTCAAGAATTTTCCACACCACATGTCATCTGTAAGTAGGAATGAATTCTGCAGAGTGCAGCTGCTGATCTGGGCTCCTCTTCGCTGGGGCTTCCGTGGCTTCCTGCGTACTGGACAGAGTGGCTCTGTGGTATAGACTGTGATCTGGGGATTTTTTGCTGTACAAATTTGTTTTTTTTTAAAAAAAAAACCTCATTGAATTACCTTGTAGTGGTGTGTTTGATTCCTTTTTAGACTGGCTTCAGCATTGTGCAATTTAAAAATAAGTAACTTAAGTAACTTAAACTTATATAAATCCTGAATTGTATAAACTTTAGCTTTGAGTCCGTTTTTTTTCCAGTGGTGAAAAAGGTGGGGGGATGAGGAGTGAAGAGGGTGGTTGTGAGTGTGGCGGGCTGGAGGTCCCACCATGTGCCCCATGCGACCACGTCTAAAGGAGACCCACTTTCTTTGAAGACAGTTTGCCCAGAAATTTCTATCTGGCCTCTTCTGTTCTTCTTGCCCCAGCAGGTGGCAGCCAAGCTTCTTCTGACTCCCCCATTGAGTGTCTAAATAGTCAGACTTAAGTTCAAAGCACCGATTCCCAAAACCAGTTGTGCGTTCTGGTTTTTTTTTTTTGGCAGCTGGTACAGGGATCAAACCCCGGACCTTGATGTTATCAGCACCACGCTCTAACCACCTGGGCTAACTGGCCAGCCTCATTCTTAATCTATGAAGTTATTCAATCTTACTGTAGTGATAACAATGATGTAAAAATAAATGCATGTAAGTGATGAGAGCAGATACTAAGTATCTCTAAGTCTTCTCTCTCTCTCTCTTTTTTTTATTTTTTTAAAGATGACCGGTAAGGGGATCTTAACCCTTGACTTGGTGTTGTCAGCGCCATGCTTTTCCAAGGGACCTAACCTGCCACCCCTATATAGGGATCTGAACCTGTGGCCTTGGTGTTATCAGCACCACACTCTCCCAAGTGAGCCACGGGCCGGCCCTAAGGCCTCTCCTCTTAAAGGCAGGTTCAGACCCCTGGGGCTGACCTGCCACCCTCCCCCACCCCCAGCCCCTTCCCTGTCTCCCTAGGTTGCACCTAGGCCACCCTTGCTGTGGGCCTCCGCCAACCAGGGTGTTGGGCATTTGCACCAGTCTCTATAGAGAGCCGAGACAACTTGAGGGTCCTTCAGGCTGAAGGTATCCTCCCTACCGCACAACGCCTCTCCTGGAGCTTCTCCCAGTCTCACCAAGCAGGCCTGTTATCCTTCCAGTTGGCTCTGCCCAAAGGCTGTAGCTTCTCCTGAGCCTGAGCCGGGGCAGTCACTGTTCAGGAGGCCTATATTCCCCTCAGGCCCTGGTTCCAACCTATGTGGTTAACAGGTGGTTAAAAGCCAGTTTTCCTCATCAGTAAGATCGGATATACCAGCCTCATAAGACAATTAAATCAGAAACGTCCCCTGCTTATACAGAGCGTGGCCCACCACGAGCTCTCCTGCAGTCTTAGCTGCTGTTAGTTCTAAGCCCTAGTGGTTATTAGGTGTGACTTTGGCCAAGGCATGTGACACTAAGCTTTTCCTGTACAACTCAGCATTGCTGGAGTGTGGAGGGGTCTATGGGAGCCTTCCAACTGGTTTGGAGAGAGAGCTCACAAAACCTGGTACAGATTTGGCTTTTATCTCTAGGGAGCCATTGAGGGGTTTTAACAGATTCTGATGCGGGCAACGCCTCTCCTGGAGCTTCTCCCAGTCCCACCAAGCAGGCCTGTTATCCTTCCAGTTGGCTCTGCCCAAAGGCTGTAGCTTCTCTTGAGCCTGAGCCGGGGCAGTCACTGTTCAGGAGGCCTATATTCCCCTCAGGCCCTGGTTCCAACCTATGTGGTTAACAAGTGGTTAAAAGCCAGTTTTCCTCATCAGTAAGATCAGATATACCAGCCTCATAAGACAATTAAATCAGAAACGTCCCCTGCTTATACAGAGCGTGGCCCACCACGAGCTCTCCTGCAGTCTTAGCTGCTGTTAGTTCTAAGCCCTAGTGGTTATTAGGTGTGACTTTGGCCAAGGCATGTGACACTAAGCTTTTCCTGTACAACTCAGCATTGCTGGAGTGTGGAGGGGTCTATGGGAGCCTTCCAACTGGTTTGGAGAGAGAGCTCACAAAACCTGGCACAGATTTGGCTTTTATCTCTAGGGAGCCATTGAGGGGTTTTAACAGATTCTGATGCGGGCAGGATGGAGTGGGGTGGAGCAGCAGAGCCTGAGGCCGGCGTGGTCCTGACAAAAGGGTTTCCTGAGTCTGGATCCTCAGATAAAACTCATGGGATTTGGCAAGGAGGCGTGGAGATGGGGGAGATGGGCTGCTATGGGTCTCGGGTGCTTCAAGGATGGCTCCATTAAACATGGTTTGCAATATAGGAGAAGAGAGTTGGAGGTTGGTAAACATTCTCTTTGAATAGGTGCTTCTTAGATTGTTGGGGGCCTTTGATTAATTTCCAGGGTTCTGAAAACGTTGACAATTTTGCCAGAAATTTTGTTGCTCTTATGGAGGAGCAGAGTTTTGGAGGTCCTCATTCCACCATTGCAGAAGTTGGCCCTCTGGGCAAGTATATTTGAAACACCTCTGAATTACCTGTGGGCCATCCAGGGGATGTCTTAGTGTGACCTGGAAACTCCTGGGAGAAGCCAGTGCTGGAGAGGGATTTGGTAACCTGCCCGAGATGAGGGGAAGAGAGGTGGAATCCTGGACACAGGAGGCTGGAGCTTCCAGCCCGTTTTCACTTAGGGCATTTGTGTTGATGCTTCACCTCTGGTCCTAGGTGTCACCGTAGAGGCTGATTCTGCATTGACTGTTACACCTTGTACAGCTTCAGTTATGCCACCTGTAGGCATCGACATCTGTCACATGAGAACTGATGTCACTTTCTAACCATCGCAGGCTTAAGAGGATAAAACGAGATTAGTAGCTAAAGTTACGGAGTGCTTACTGTGTCAGGCGCTATGCTCGTGACAACCCAGCAAGGCAAGGACATCCTCGCAGATGAGATGACTGAGCCCAGAGGTAGAAGCTGGTGACTTAGAGAGTGGGTGGAGCTGAGCTGAGACTTCCCCATCACTCCTCTAAAGCAACGTGGGTTCATCTTGCCTCGGTTCATATCCCCACATAAATGCCACAGTGGTTAAATGATCAGGCCATAGAAAAGTTTTGGAACTTACAGTGGAAAACATAACATTATAGGAGAGATCAATGATTTTGCTCATATGAAAAATTAAAATCTAAGTCACATAAAGCCGGGAGAAATTTGTAGCATCTAGGCCAAAGGATGAACATTTTTAGTTTACAATGCTGTAAAAAAAAGAAAACTAAGTCTCCATTGGAAAATGTCATAAAGGATACGAACAGAAAATAGAAAATTTGGGTCTGTTTCTAGATCAGCACTGTCCAATAGGAATATAATGTGAGCCTTATAGGTAATTTAAAATTTTCTAGGAGCCACGACAAAAAAGTCCAAAGAAAAAGGTGAAATTAATTTTCATAATAGTTTTTTTTTTCCTTTTTGTCTTTTTTACTGACCCGAACCCTTGGCGGGAGCACTGCCGCACTCCCAAGCGGTGCACTCTCCAGCGCGCCACCGGGCCGGCCCAATTTTCATAATAGTTTAACAGATTATAATTTCAGCATGTAATGGACATAAAAAACACGCGCCACTGGGCTGGCCCAATTTTCATAATAGTTTAACAGATTATAATTTCAGCATGTAATGGACATAAAAAACATTAATGAGATATTTCACAGTATTTTTCATACTAAGTCTTAGGAATTTGGTGTGTATTTTGTGCTTCCAACATGTCTGTATCCAGAGCAGCCACACTCCAGGTGCTCAGAGCCACGTGTGGCCTGCTGCTACCGTGCTGGACAGCGCAGGCCTGGACCGTTCCATCGATGACCATCGCATCAGTACTAACAGCCTTATATATGTTCTTCCTTATTCAAAAACTTCTGCTTTTTTGCACATTTATTTTTCCAGATGAACTTTAGAATGATTTTGGAAGGGGGCAGGGAAGGGACCATGCTAAATGTTTATTGACATTTGGGAATGCATATTATTGATTTGGTATAAAGTTTTATATAATTTATTAAATTGGGCTTGTAGATTATTCAAATCATTGTTTTTCTTTCTTGGCCTCTCCCTCCCCCTCCTCTTTTTTGGTCTGCACTATCTGCCTGTTTCTAAGAAAAGTACATTAAATGATTCTGGTTCTCATGTTTTCCTGTTTGTCTTAAGGCTTCTTTTATAAGTTTTGGTTGTTGCTTAGTTTAAAAAGGCTCATGAGTGCAGTTTAAAATATCAATGAATATTTTAAATATCAATAAATAAGATGTCAATGTAAAATATTTTTGGTATTCAGTTTAGTGCTTTTTGTTTTGAATTTAACATCCATTTTCTCCGTCATTTAATTTTAGGTGGGTGGCTTGTAAGCAGCACATTGCTGGGGTTTTTTTTGTTTTGTTTTGTTTTTTTAGTAAAATCTGGGAAATCTTTTAATAGGTGAATTTAACCTGTTTATTGTGATCACTGAAGTGTAATGTTATTTGCCATTTAGTTAATTTTCCTGTTGTTTTCTGATTTTTTTGCTTTCCTCATTATTTGCTTAATTAAATAATTTTTGCCTGTTGTAAATTTAGTGTCCAATATCTTATTTCAGTGTTATTAGCATGCAACTTTAAAATTTTAAATATAGTTGAATTTATACTTCATTCACATATCTGAGACCTTTCTCTAAATAAGAATAAACTCGGCAGAAAGTCTGACTTCTGCCCTTCTTCCTACAAGAGCTTGCACATGCATGCGTGTGCATGCACATTCTGTCTCCTGGGTTTTGATGGAATCATCTAGCATACAGTTCAGAATTCTATACAGGTGTGCCTCAACTTAAGATGGGGTTATGTCTCGATTATTCATATGATGATTATTTCCTTGTAAGTTGAAAATATTGTTAAGTCGAAGGTGCATTTAATATACCTAATCTACCGAACATCATAGCTTAGCCTGTTCCACCTTAGAAGTGCTCAGAACACTTACAGTAGCCTGCAGTTGGCCAAAATCATTTAACACAAAGTCTATTTTGTAATAAAGTGTTGAATATCTCCTGTAGTTTACTGAATACTGTACATTACTTCAAAATTGCAACAATTTCCCACCTTGGTAAAGTCAAAAAACTTAAGTGTAGCCATTGTAAGTTGGGGACCGACTGTATAATCTTTTTTTTTTTTTTTTTTAAA